AAGAACTTATTTCTTATAGATAGAAGGTTACGCTTTTTTGAGATCGTATACAGAGAAACAGAGAAAGAGAGAGAGAGAGATAGAGAGAGATAGAGAGAGAAAGATCTGTTAGGCGAAAGGAATGCAACCGTCTTGAACATTTGAAAAGCCGGTCACGTTTTGCAAGAGATAGAAACGAAAAGAAACACGAAGGATATCGTTCGTGACCGGTCGGGAAGCTTTCGTAATGTTAATCAAAAGAGTCATTATACTTACGCGTATGTATGTATATATTATAATAACATAGTTTAGCCTTTGACGTGTTTTACTTTGTGAATATTTAAACAGAACGACATATGAGACAGAGACAGAGAGAGAGAGAGAGAGAGAGAGAAAGAGAGAGAAAGAACAAAAAATAAAGCATAAAGAAAGAAAGAAAATATAAAATAATGATAAATGAACATTTTATTTCGTTTTACAAACGAGTTTATTTTTCCCTAGTTTCTACATCTTCTTTCATACGAGTAGATATATTTAGCGATCATATGTGCATTACCATTGTCCAACAAAAATGTTCTCTCATTACCATACGACGAATTTCTTTTGAATTGCTACGGTTACTCAACGTATGTATGGTCGCATCGTTTCGAATAATAGTCATTTCGTTGGTCAAAATATAAAAAAAATTGAGAGAGAAAAAGGTATTTTCTCTTAACTATGAAAAAGCATCCGATGTCATATATGTTTATATATATATATATATATATTAATAGAAGTATGCACGTCGCGTCGTCGTATTATCGTACAAAAGTATATTTCCAACTATGCTAGAATTTCGAGGAAAAATATTTATTTAAAAAGATATAAGCATATTTTCTTATTTTTTTATTTTTTGCTTTCCTTCCTCTCTCTCTCTCTCTCTCTTTAATAAATATTATTGCATATAGCAAGATATAAATATTGCATATTATAATAATAATAATAATAATAATAATAACGGTTTAAATGTAGTTTCTCTCTGTAAATATACTATTTCATATATCTATCCAAAACGATCAACGAAACATACGGAGAGTATACGTAAAGAAGGAAATGATATAATATATATATGTTCTATATATATATATATATGTTGGTTGCACAGTCTTGTTTCATAGGCGGAGTTTCGTTGCGTTATCAGAAACAGAGCGTTCGGTGATCGGAATTAATATCGTCGTTTATTTAGACCATAGAGTAGGATGGGGAAGTGGGACGGGAGGGGGAGGGGTTGGTTTAAAAGGGAGGAACAATTTAAGGGTAGATCCGTATTCGAGGGCGTTCGGCCGGCACGTCGTTTCCGTAAGTTGGAAACTGCAATGGCAAGTGGAGCCGACTCTATGAACGAGACTTTGTTACTCCGGTCACGCCAATGCCTGGAGTTTCTCATTACGATTCCGTTGGCGTCAGCAATTGCAGTAAGTTGTATGGTTTCCTTCCACCTCTCTCTCTCTCTTTCTCTCTCTCTCTCTCTCTTTTTTATCTTTTAGATATATATCGCGATACTTTATTACTATTTGGTTGGAACTTGTAACTCTCGATCTAGTTCCAACAATTTTTTTCTTTATTCTCTTTTTTTCTTGTTCTCCTCCTCCTCCTTCTTCTTCTCTAATTCCATCGAAATAATCTTTTTACCATTGATAGGATATTTTTATTTTTTGTCTGCACACTTTTTTTTTTTCAAAACATTTAGAAGACGATTATAATTTAACTTTTGTACAAAGGATTATAAAAAAATGAATTTTTTGTAAGATACAAAAATGCATACACGATCTTATGAACTTAATGAATTTAAATGTTTAACTTTTGTAAGATAAAATCATTGCACACGTTTAACCAACGAGTTCAACGCATTAAGATATAAATATTTAATACTTAAAAAAGTATAAACAACTAAGTCTCATATAAAAATATAATATAATAAATGACGTTTGAATTGGTCTAAAGGAGAAAAAAAAAATGAAAGGAAGGCTTTGAGATTAGAAAGGACGACGTTAAAGATATATATATATATATATAGATATATTTGAAAAGTGGTAAAAAGGTGGCGTGGGTGGGTGGTTTTTTAAGCTTGCGGCGAGCGTGAGTTTGCAATTAGCTCTCGGCTTTTCGTTTTGATACGCACGAATGATGCACAACGACTACGACTACGACGACGAGAAAAGGTGGAAAGAAGAAAAAAGAGGATGAAGAAGAAGATAGAAATAGAGGAGTAAGAGGAGTGAAGGAATTGCGGTAGGGGTGTAAGGGGGAACCAGGGGGAAGATAAAACGGGTGGCGGCAATGAAAATGGCCCCGGGACTTGTATTGTTCTTACGGCTGGTAATGATGCCCTCGAGCACAAGAGAGAGAGAGAGAGAGAGAGAGAGAGAGAGAGAGAGAGAGAGAGACGTTTCGTCGAGTTTCCTGAGAACGAACGAACGAATGAACGAATGAACGAATGAACGGGTTTGCTGTTGCTTCTGCCTAACGCGTATCTCTCTCGCAACGCGTTACCAACTTCTTTCTCTCTTTTTCTGTGACCTGGAGAAAAAAAAAAAGGAAAAAAAAAAGAAGAAGCGCTAGCCAAGGTGTGGTAAAGTGAGGTGAGGTGGGGTGTGTGGGGCCCAAGCGAATCTTCTTTTTCCATTCTCTTTTCTATTTTATTTCTTTTTCTTTTTCTTTTCTTTTCTTTCTCATCGTTCATCTTCTTTCTCACTTTCTCCTTATTGGTACCAAGGGGTTGGGTTCGGTTGGGTTGGGTTGGTGGTTCTGACAATAGCAGACCGATTCACTCGTCACCTAGAAAAGAAGATATCGCTTATTGCTGGAATGCAGCGACGCGTTAGAAAAGTGCCAGAGCTCTTTCCTCGTGCCGGTAACGAGGTATAATATCAAGCCCTTAACCCTCCCCCTCCCCTCCCTCCTCTTCCCCCTCATCGCCACTACCCTCCATGCCTCCTCTAACTCTTTCCCTTTTTTTCCCCTTTTATTTCTTTCTATTATTTCTTTCTTTTTATTTTCTTCTTTTTACTTCGTGAAAAATCCCTGCTATGGTCGATCGCCCAACGCGAAACTTTACTCTCATCTTACCAAACCCCCATTCTATTTTTTTCTTTTTTCCCCTCTACTTCTTCTTCTTCTTCTTCTTCTTCTTTGTGCGCGTTTTGCTTTTATTTTTTTACTTTTTTCTTCTTTCTCTTTCTCTTCCATTTTTTTTCTTTTTTTTTTTTATGCTATATGACGTTCTAAAGGATCCATTACTATCCTATCGTTTTTCATCATTCATGCGAGAAAAATGTGCGGCGGAGCAACATCGTTACGAATCGATGGAATGGAAAAATAGAAAAAGTTCTTCAAGTCAATCTTCGCTATGTATGGTTGTTACATCAAAAATCATTTTTATATCATATATATATCTATAGTCATTCGATTTAAGTGTAATATCGTAACGTGGAAAATGGTCAAGAGTATCGATGACTGCAAAAAGATTCGCAAAATCGAATCTCGTTCGTACGTACGTTCGTTCATTCGTTCGTTCGTTCATTCGCTAGCTAGTAAGCCTCGCTAACTCGTCGTCTCGACGAAGTTTTTTTTTTTTTTTTTCACTCAAACGATAAAAGTTCGAAATGTAGTAGTACGCTCGGTGCAAATTACTATCCTTCACGGTTCGTATTCTTCCGTTGTATGTTGAACGGGGGAGTGCAAGTTAAACGTTAACTTTTGGAAAGTAAGTGCATCGTTAACGAAGTCAATTTTAAAGTTAGCAAGCTTGAAAAGTATATCCTTTCATCCTCTTGTCTATTTTCCACCTACTCCACCACACTCCTTCTATATCTCTCTCTTTCTCTGTCTTTCTTTCTCATTTTCTATAAGGTTGGTACCCACCCCCTCCTCCCACCTCCTCCCTAGTCGAAAGTTTCAGTTTTAATAACTTAATGACGAGAGCACCTTTTTCGCTTTATTAATTAATTTGCTCGTCGTTGATCGTGGTCTGTCGGTTGTCGTCGTCGTCGTCGTCGTCGTCGTCGTCGTAGTCGTCGTATGATCTTTTGAATTTTAGAAATTTTCTTCATATAATCTGTGTCTCTCTTTTTGTCTCTTTGTTTTATTTAACGAATGGAATTAGAGTGAGATAAAAAAGGAAGAGAATAAAATAGCTGTATCCTGCGAATTATCATTTACGTTCTACACGATACATTGAAAGAGAATACACTTGTTCATGAACTGTTGGTCGCGTCATAGAACTCGATGACTACCGAGGTTTAAAGCTGATCGAGAGAACGATTTGCCGGAGCTATAAATTATTTCGAGTGGAGGACGATCAATCTCCCTTCGTGGCAATCTACGTCGTCGTCGTCGTCGTCGTCGTCGTCGTCGTCGTCGTCGTCGTTGAAATTGATGCCAAGGGCAATCTTAAATTCTTCTTTGTTTTAGTTCGAAGGATATAAAACGCGAATAATTTTCATCATTGAAAAATTAGTTACGTGTAACAATATCTCGGTATAAATAACGGAAAAATAAAAAAGAAGAAGAAATAAAAAATGATCCTACTAGGAATGTTAATCAGTAAGAAGAAATTGTAATTACTTATGTGAAATGATATCAATCTCTGCTACTGTACAGTAGATAATTAATAACTCAATTATTAATTAGAAATGTACAATATTACTGTCTAGTTAATTAACTTTATTTTAGAAAGATATAAAAAAAAAATGAGAAAAAGAAGAACGAGTGTTAAATATATTTTTACTTCTTCCTTTTTTATTTTGATATCATCGAAGGATAGTAATAGTCTCCTTGTATTCAGAATTGATACACAAGTATGGTGTGTACACTATATGTTATTCGTGGTATCTAAGTTTCATTATATAACGTAGGAACGAAATCGATCGAGGTTTTGTTAGTAGTAGTAGTAGTAGTAATACCATGACTGCGATAGATAATTGATTCGGTTGGGACGCAATTAATTAACGAGTCGTCTCTACGTCTACGTTGATGTAGACTCACTGTTATTCCTCGTTAATACGTTTACCTTCTATTCACTATGTAACATATATAAACGTTATACGCATGATTGACCCGTTGTATATCAGTGAAATTCCATTTCTCATGGGTATAAGCAACAGTAACGTGAAATTCTTCGAGGAAAAGACACGAAGGAAAATCGAATCGATCGATGGTGTGTTGTAGTAGTAGTAGTAGTAAGCTGACAATGTTAATGTAACACGTGTTGCGATATCATAGATATCATCATCCGGTTCCTTTCATCTAACATTTATCGTTATTTCGGGAATTATCGCGTACCTCTGAATAGTGTGTTTGTGTGTGTGTATATATATATGTGTATTAATACATAGGAACACAATATCTCTATAGAATATTCAAAGGATTTCGTTCCACCGATAATACGATAATTCTCCGTTCGCATTAACACTATCGTTGCATATAATGAATGCATTAGTGTGAAACTACATACATATATTAACCGATATATATATATATATATATTATACTTTATAGTTAAAATATTCAATGATTATTAATCGTTCGAATGAACAATACGTTGGTGGTGATGCTTTGAAAAGGATCAAAGAATAAAATGTCATATTAAAGTGATGATTATTATTATTTTAATTGTAACACGCATGATATTAAATATCTGGACGATGTGTTTGGTCGGTTGTTCTCGTAACACGTGAAAAGAAAACACACTTTTTAGTAGTCACGGTAATATAAAAAACATTTGATTTTTCGTCGGTTGTAGTTTTGTGGGGAAATTACAACGGTGCTTAATTTTCTCATAGAACAACGAAGAGAGCTTCGTGTTGCGTGTAGAACAAGAGTATGGGTAGAGGAGGAAATATATAACACACAGAGGGGGTAAGAGGAGGATTTTCACGTAGGGAATGTCGCATATGGTGTGTGCGTTATTTCGTAAAGGTTATATAATCCATGTACCCCGTGCGCGCGTTTGTGTCGTTTCTCGACGCAACTCTGGAAACGTTCGTGCTCGTGACGCGTACGTTGGTTGGCCCAGCTGTTAATGAGAACAAGGATGGTCCATTTCAAAGAGAGAGAGAGAGAGAGAGAGAGAGAGAGAGAGGGGGAAAGAGAGAGATATTACCTCGAGAGTACAAACACACCGATAATTCCCTCTAGTCGTCTACAATTTTTTTTTTTTTTTTTATCATCTTTCTTTCTTTTCAGCTAAAACATTGTCTCTTTACTTTTGCCGTTGCATTTATTTTTGGTTTGTACTCGAACCTCTTTGCATAGTGTTGCAAACACGCGTATTTTTCACTCGTTATTTGCAATCTCGAATTCGTGATCGACCCGAATATATATACATTCGGGTTTCGATTTGAAAAAAAAAAAGGGTTCTTCTTTTTTTGTGTGTGTTATTTTTGATCTATTTTTATACACTCTTTCTTTGCAAACTCATCGACGACACACGCGTGAATTGTCATCGTTCTCTCTTGTATTCCTTTTGGTCGTTTCGTTTTTTCTCGATTTGTCATCGACATGACACGCATTTCCGATATTTGCTTGTTGCGAGGAAAATAGGATTGCTAAAGGAAGTTGTTAACGTTCAGGAAAATATTTGTTCGTTTTCCCTGCCGAAGTTTACACCCTTAAAAGTGACTATCGATTTTAAAACGCAAAATCGTTTTTGCTTACATTCGACGTTTTATTCGTTTACGTTGCAAATAAATACGCGCATTTATCTGTCACCCATAGTTGATATAACCAAGCGAGAAATGTTTTATCGAAGTTTCCAATGTAAATAAACGTAATTTGCGTGAGCTGCGTTAAAGTTTGTGTCCGTGACTGCTTTAACTTGAAGAGAGAGAGAGAGAGAGAGAGAGAGAGAGAGAGAGAGAGAGAGAGATAGATGAGATGAGATGAGATGAGAGAAGAGAGAAAAGGTCTCGTTTGAATTAAATCTAGAATGCTGCAAACCGAAAATAAATTCGTCATTGCTAACAACCGTAAGAGTAAAGTTTTACGGGAAGAATAAATTGTATTAAACTTTCCCTTTTTTTTTAACCTCGATGCTAGGAAATTGGCCGTTCTAATTTTGTTTGAATTTTTGCAGCAAAAGTTTACTCGCCTAGCCGGTATTCTGTATATATATATATATACTATTACTGTATATATATAGTTGATGGTCACTCGTACGACTCTTGTCTATCTCTAAGGACCCTTAATATCGAGTATATTCGAATACTCCAGAGAACAAACTTCGTTTCTCGCGATACCTTTAATTCTTAAACCTATCAAATACTATTTCTATGACATCAGAATTATTAAAAAGACTATTCGACATGACAATTATTTTTTATTTTTTGTACAAAAAAAAAAAAAAGAATTTATTGACACCTTTAATATATCACGTAGAACTTCCAATCGAATAACAAGACATCAAAGAATTGATTCTGTTAATTTGCCAAAGTTGTTTCCTGTTTATCAGAAATTCCTTCTCTCTCTCTCTCTCTGTCTTGTTTCTCTCTTCTTGTTGATACTCTCGTAACTATAGGATTGTAGTATGCGACACGATAGTCGGTACTGTCATTGAAACAGAAACTACCTTGTGTTCCTTAACGCGATAAGTGGTGAGAACCTTGGAGACGAAACGTTGCAGGGAATATGTACACGGTCGAACGAGTTTTCGGAGAAGATATCGATTTTGGGATATGCTTGGTTAATGTGGTAAATTTTCGAGTTTGTTTTGATTAAAGTTTACCAACGTGTTAAATGAATAATTAATATGGTAAACATCTAATTCTTGTTTTCCGAAATTTTCTATATACTAGTCTTTAATCTCTCTGACAAAATCTATGAATTATTTCAGTGATATTTACAACAGTAGGAATTCATTTTCACAATTTAAATAGGTTATATGCTAAGAACACAACACACATATATCTCGAAATCCTTTCCTGCGAATATTAAAATAAATATATATATTATATATGTATATATGTATAGTATATGTGCAGAGATTGTAGAAACACTCGAAGACAAAGAGAAATAACGTGCAAAGAGAGCCTGAGGGTAATCGAGGACATCGGATTAGCTGTCATGCGCTGCCCATGGTATTCCACGTTTCCAACTGCAGTTGCATTCGTCCCTCTTGCTACATTATACCGCGTAACACAGCGGGATGCGCCATTATTCTATGCTTATCTCAACCAGTAAGCCGAGATTACGTTTGGTATACCTGTGTGACTCGCAATCATTTTAATTAATTCTTTCTTTGTATCTCGTAATTCTTCTCTCTCTCTCTCTCTGTATCTCTCTTTCACTCGGTATTTCCCTCTTCCAACATTCCCTCTTCCAAACGCCTCTTCTTTTTTTCCCCTCTTTGTTTTGCGCGTCGAATTAAATTACACATTACCGAAATTTTTAAACGAACCTGTGCGTTTACCGATGTTACTTACAATTTTTCTGTTTTTCTTTTTTCTTTTTCTTTTTCTTTTTTGCTCCTCCCGTATATAATCGCGAATAATTTCAGCAACAGGTTATAAAATCGTGAATCTTATTTTTTTGAGGGTTTTTTTTTTTGTTTTTATTATCTCCCATTTGTTCTTTTTCTTTTTAAAGACAACTATGAGTATCTGACAAGTTTACTTTTATCCGTGGGTTATAACAATGACGGTATATTAATTGAATAAATCACAGATACGCGTTATTTGTAAGACAAATATCAGGGTGAAAAGGGGGTAGATATAAATTTTCAAATTCAAGCGAGAAAAATTTACGATCAATATCGAATAACGTTCGTATCAGTGCCCAGTTGGCAATTTGTCATTATTCGTTTTTTTCCACCCCCCCGTTCCCATTATTTTATTCCTTCTTCTTCTTCTTCTTCTACTACTACTTTTTCTTTTATTCTATTTTATTATTATTATTTAAACGTAAAATGAAATAAAAATTATTCTGTTTTGTTTAATATAACGTTTAGATAAATTATCATAATGCAATCGCATTAATTGACTGACTTTATTTGAATTTTGATGAAAAATTAAATTCACTTTTTACGTTACGAGTAATAATATGAAATATTCATATAAAAGGAACCAACCCATGGGATGGGAATGGCAGGGGGGTTTGTCAGTGCGAATATACGGAGGAAAAAAATTGTTTTCAAAGCTCGCTAGAGAGAGAGAGAGAGAGAGAGACTTATTTAAACTAAATAAGAAAAAAAGAAATATATCTCATCGTCCCTTTTCATTTTTTGTTTTGTTTTGTTATGTTTTATTTTCAAAATGGATCGTATCTCGGACTTTGACGCAATGCGTTTTATATCCCACTTTGATTTTACCCTCAATGCTATGAGTATGTATATATATATATATATATATATATATATACATATCTTTTATATTTTTTATTTGATCTAATCGTACCATAGGGAAAAGAAAAGTAAAATCCTTCGTTGGGGAAATCCCTTTTAGGTGGATATATTTCGGTGGGTGGTTGAAGGGGGGAGGGGGAGGGGGTGGATAGAGGATATTACGAGAAAAGCTTTTCTTTTACCTTCGACCGGATATCGATCATTCTAAAATTTGACATATCCTATTCGAAGTTAGGCAAAACTTTCTACGATGGTAGGATAGGGTAGGTTTAACCTCAAAAAGTTATTTTCGTTTTGCAATTTTAATGAATAAATAATGATGCAGTGTGTGAGAACGATGATGAAGGAATGAAGACTGATCGATCACCATTAACGATCAAATAATCAAAATTGATTTCAAATGAATGAATGAATGAATGAATGAATGGTGTCATTGCAGTGTATAGGTTGTTGTAAAATAAAAAAATAATCTCAATCAGTCTCTCTCTCTCTCTCTCTCTTTCTCTTTAGGTTTCTATGAAAAAGTAATACAGCTCTATAATCATAGGATTCGCCGACATTGTCTTTCTATTTGCGTTCGCAATATCGATAAGGTTCAAAGAGTAGAAAGAAATCGTGTGTACATGTATATATATGTGTGTGTGTGTGTATATATATATACATATGAGCTCTTTCTTTTTTACCTCGTCTCTCTTTTTCCTTGAGTTTCTCCTAGCAATTCTCAATCCGCTATTCGCATTCGACCAGAATTTTCAATTTCCCGCGTATTATCCGGGATTAGCGGGCAGACACGGCATTTTTTGGGTTTCTCCCGTAATTCC